TCTTGAAACGGGGAAGAAACAGTATGTTAATAGAGAAAGAAGAAATTGTTGTGTGGAGAAGGGAATACCTTAGGAAGATTCGGAAGTTTCGCGATGAAAAAAGAAAAATTTACTATTTGGACGAAACGTGGGTGAATGCTGGACATACTCAAGCGAAAGTTTGGGTCGACAAATCAGTAACATCATCAAGGCAGGCTTTTCTAGACGGTCTTTCGGCTGGATTGAAAAATCCTGCAGGTAAGCTCCTTCATCTATCCGGCAATTTAATTTTGATAAATTCGGGCAAATAATATGCTGTGATAGCAGATAATGTGTGATATTCTCCAAAAATGGTGCATTCGCAGTGTAGTCATTAGGAAAAAACTTCGACCCTCTTTTAAGCGTTATTTTGAAATTTATTATCATTTTTGGGTGCAGTCAATTTGCTTTGAATGGGTTTTGAGAAGTTGCAAACTTCAATTTTCTACGTTTTTCAGTTTTTGATCAGCATTCCGTGACTCTTAAATTCAGCTAAATGAACTCAATTGCCTTATTAAAAAAGACAGGGGACTATCATGAGGAGATGGACGGCAATTCCTTTGAAAATTTTCTCCAAAATGTTACTAAAGCTGGAGAATAACGCTGTTATTGTACTGGATAATGCCCCGCACCATTCTAGAAAAATAGAAAAAATTCCCACAATGGCAACTAAAAAAGCAAACATACAACAATGGCTGGCCTCAAAACAGATCGATTTTGATGAAACAATGGTCAAGGGTGAATTGATAAGTATAGTCAATAGACCTAAATACAAATACGATTTTAAAATGATCGACGAAATGGCCAAAAAACAAAATAAAACTGTCTTGAGACTGCCACCCTACCATTGTGAGTTGAACCCTATTGAGCTGATTTGGGCCAACATAAAGCAATACGTGGCGTCGAATAATAATACTTATAAATTTTCTGATGTTAAAAATCTCTTTCACATCGCAGTCAATAGAGTTACGGCAGAGAAATGGAAAAACTGTATCCGCCACGTTCGGGAGAAGGTTGAGGTCAAAATGTGGGATTTGGACAATGTCATCGATACCCAAATTGAACCTCTAATAATTCATTTAAACGATTCAGAAGATTCAAGTTCCTCTTGAATGAGTGAGCGCAGCTTACTTACTAATAACTAAAAAGTGTAGTTAACTCATTTGTGAATCTCTAACTGAAATTTACTGTAAAAGATAATAATTATCTTGTATGAAATTTTTTATGACTACCCATAATATCTTGATGCGGTCCTGTAATGTCTCCTGCACCTAAACACTCACTCACGAGCAACATGCGTGTATTTGTTTGGGTTTAGTTTTTTCTTCAGCGCCTAGAGTATAGATTAATCTGATGTCAACATGACCCAAGAGATCCTCCAATATATTCATAGTATATTTTGCTTAAATTTGAACATTAATGTTACCAGACTATAACGTTTCTCTAACATCATTTGCATGCCCAAAGGGCAACATCGTAAGTCGTGGATATACAAGAGTTGCGTTTCAGACCCATCTTGTACCCGTTCTGGATAGGAACGCCAATGGAATATTAATATTCGTCAATTTGAATCATTTTTAGATATGCGTGTGTCAATTTTGATACCCCCTTAGATCTAGCTAAATTCAATAGTGTATTTAATCGTATTTGAAACTTACGGGATTTGATTAACAAAAATTAACATTTGGATGGATACTGTAATGCATGTATGTATGTTAGGAATGTTCAGTATTATTTAATATTTTGTCTCACCTGATACAGACTGTGACATTTTTCTTACTTTGGATTGGTTTTACACCCAATTTATTGATGTTTGGTAAGAGAGAGCTAATACTCAAGTATCCGGATGTTTATATTGGAACCTTAAATGGTTCATATATTTATTTTTGAACCTTAAATGGTTGACATGTTAATTTGAACCTTAAATGGTTGATAGGTTTATTTCCTAATCTTTAAATGGTTGACATGTTATTTTTGGAAACCTTAGATGGTTGATAGTTTATTTTCGAACCTTATATGGTTGACATGTAATTTTTTAACCTTAAATGGTTTATATGTTTATTTTAGAACCTCACATGATTGACATATGTCCTTTTGGAGCCCTAAATGGTTGATATGTTTATTTCGAACCTTAAATGGTTGACTTATGTCGTTTTGGAACTTTAAATGGTTGATTTAGGTCTACTTTGGAACCATAAATGGTTGACATGCTATTTTCGAACCTTAAATGGTTGACTTATGTCCTTCTAGAACCGTAGATGGTTGATTTATGGTTTACTTTGGAACTTTAAATGGTTGACATGTTAATTTTGGAACCTTAAAATGGTTAATATGTTTATTTTCGAAGCTCAAATGGTTGACATGTCAATTTTTTAACCCTAAATGGTTGATATGTTTATTTTCGAACCTTAATGGTTGACATGTCAATTTTTGACTTTAATGGTTGATATGTTTATTTTCGAACCTTAAATGGTTGACCTATATCCTTTTGGAAGCTTAAGTGGTTGATATGTTTATTTTCGAACCCTAAATGGTTGACTTATGTCCTTTTGGAACATTAGATGTTTGATTTATGTCTACTTTGGAACCTTAAATGGTTAACATGTTAATTTTTGAACCTTAAATGGTTGATAAATGGTTGATATGTTTATATTCGAACCTTAAATGGTTGACCTATGTCCTTTTGGAACCTTAAGTGGTTGATATGTTTATTTTCGAACCCTAAATGGTTGACGTATGTCCTTTTGAAACCTTAAATGGTTGATTATATTTACTTTGGAACCTTAAATGGTTAACATGTTAATTTTTGAACCTTAAATGGTTGATATGTTTATTTTCGAACCTTAAATGATTGACCTATGTCCTTTTGGAACCTTAAGTGGCTGATATGTTTATTTTCGAACCCTAAATGGTTGACTTATGTCCTTTTGGAACCTTAGATGTTTGATTTATGTCTACTTTGGAACCTTAAATGGTTAACATGTTAATTTTTGAACCTTAAATGGTTGATATGTTTATTTTCGAACCTTAAATGATTGACCTATGTCCTTTTGGAACCTTAAGTGGTTGATATGTTTATTTTCGAACCCTAAATGGTTGACTTATGTCCTTTTGGAACCTTAGATGTTGATTTATGTCTACTTTGGAACCTTAAATGGTTAACATGTTAATTTTGACCTTAAATGGTTGTATGTTTATTTTCGACCTTAAATGGTTGACATGTCAATTTTGAACTTTAAATGGTTGATATGTTTATTTTCGAACCTTAATGGTTGACCTATGTCCGTTTGGAACCTTAAGTGGTTGATATGTTTATTTTCGAACCCTAAATGGTTGACGTATGTCTTTTGAAACCTTAAATGGTTGATTTATATTTACTTTGGAACCTTAAATGGTTACCATGTTAATTTTTGAACCTTAAATGGTTGATATGTTTATTTTCGAACCTTAAATGATTGACCTATGTCCTTTTGGAACCTTAAGTGGCTGATATGTTTATTTTCGAACCCTAAATGGTTGACTTATGTCCTTTTGGAACCTTAGATGTTTGATTTATGTCTACTTTGGAACCTTAAATGGTTAACATGTTAATTTTTGAACCTTAAATGGTTGATATGTTTATTTTCGAACCTTAATGATTGACCTATGTCCTTTTTGGAACCTTAAGTGGTTGATATGTTTATTTCGAACCCTAAATGGTTGACTTATGTCCTTTTGGAACCTTAGATGTTTGATTTATGTCTACTTTGGAACCTTAAATGGTTAACATGTTAATTTTTGAACCTTAAATGGTTGATATGTTTATTTTCGAACCTTAAATGGTTGACATGTCAATTTTTGAAACTTTAAATGGTTGATATGTTTATTTTCGAACCTTAAATGGTTGACCTATGTCCTTTTGGAACCTTAAGTGGTTGACAGGTTAATTTTTGAACCTTAAATGGTTGACGTATGTCCTTTTGGAACCTTAGATGGTGATTTATGTTTATTTTGGAACCTTAAATGGTTGACATGTTTATTTTCGAACCTTAAGCGGTTGAACTTATGTTCTTTTGACTAAATAATACAAACATTGATTAATAAAAAATAAAAAAAGAACCTTAGGTGGGTTGAGATAAATTTGTATTTTTCGCACCTAGTTAGCTGTATTATTCCGAATCAAAGGGCGAAAATAGTGTTTAACTCCACGCTAAGAAGATTTTGAATATGATGTTTCACCGTAACAATCCAAGATCTAAGTAGTATGGTTCGAACCTTAAATGGTTGACATGTTGATTTGGTACCTTAAATGTTGATATGTTTATTGTTGTACTGGTAATTAAATTATTTTTGCGTACGAGCGCGTACGAGAGCAGGATTATCATATTAATATTTTAATCTTGATGGTGTTGAGACAAACATTGAATGGCTGACCGGTTTTTGTTTGGTTTTGCAGCGGTCAATCATGAACGTTCTGTTGACAAGATCAGATCTGAATTGTTTGTGCAATACAAGTAGTGTTTTGAGCGATAATTAGTTTAATTTCGACCACAAGTTAACATGTATGTATTCGCGAGAGTGAAACCTAGAGATCATCTTTTGTGACAATATATGACCTCATATTACTTAATCACTCCTTAATTCAGATAAATTAGGGGAAGCTGATTGATCTTTTGGCAGTCAAATTTACATTCTAAACGTTCTGTAGCTGCTTCATTTTTAATTTTTCAATTATGGTGGACGTGTACACTCTGAAATAGGTAACACATCCACCATTTTTATTAAAACCATATGACGAATTTGAATAGATTAGAAGCCAAGCCTATGTATGCTTACATTGCATTTCTTCGCCAAAATCAATGATTCCAATGCATTTTTGACTCATAGGCCTTCCGATGGCTATCAAAGTACAGCACTGCATCATCACCAATAATATAATTACCTTTATTAAGTGCTCTTTGTTGTAAATTATGTAAAAAATAATCGTAATCGTCTAGCACCGCAAACACTCGTACTTTCAACACTAACACAAATATGAATTTGATAATACAACTGTCAAAAATTACTTATGTCAAATGCAGTTGTAGTATGCATTTCGACCTTACTACAAACTATGAAAAATAGGAGACAATGAATCCTTACAAGCTCCTCCTTCCACCTAGTGTAAATTCGATGACATTACTGAAAATAGAGAAAAGTGTCATCTAAAAAAATTGAGTATAGATTCAGCAGTAAAGATATGAAACAAAAGTCCATACAAACATGTCTCATCAAATTGCCCTTTTCCATGGTATGGCGAAAAACAGTACGCAACTGATATTTGCAAAAATAAATGACTTCTGCTCAAAGCTATATAGACGGAGCTTGCTCCAGGTCTTTCGCGACTCTTCCTGATATCGTAAGAGTCCAGGAGCTTCCCAGAAAAATGGAAATTTGCTCATATCCAAGCCATCCCAAAAAGGGGTCTATAGCTCTGTTATCTATTATTCATGAATCGCGAGCTTTTGGACTACCTCGAACGTCACGGCTTGATGAGCGACAAGCAGAATGGTTTTCGGCGCCAACGATCCACAGGACATCTCCTAGGTCATGTCACGCAATTGTGGGGTAAACCATCCAAATATCTCACTCTATTTCTGAGGAAAGAAGATGAAGGAGAAACACCCTGTATACGCTTTGACCTCTGATTCACAGAGCTGCTAAGTGTATATGCTGCCCAACTAGACCCGGTCTCCCCGATGCTGACTATCACAATTGAATGCGGGGATTGTTTGGAATAGGGGGCAATTAAATTATTAATTGTACTTGGAAACGATATGTGGATTTGGATTCAAACCAAGTGGTAAAGTACACACTGCTGTAGTTTAACTGCTTGGATATTCAGCTTAATAGTTCATCATTTATCATGTTAAATGTCGATGGCGCTGTTGGATATACTCCATCATTAAAACAACATTCGGCCGTCAGTAACGACAAAGTACGAGTTCAGAATAAACGACTCTATAACGATTTTAAACAAAATATTCTTCCAAAATTTAATAATTGATAAACGCACATGTAAGTGTACAAAAAAAAAGCTTAAATGATTTATATAATATGCAGAAATACGGCTGAACTATACAGGGTGTTTCAGTTTATTGTCGCATAACTTTAAGATTCGATAGAACTTTTAAAATTAATGCATAAAGTCTATATAAACATGGGTCGAAAAATGCGTGGCTTCCGAAATACAGGGTGGTTTAAATTTACTTCTGAAATAGCTTTTTTTAAATATTTCGAACAATATTTGATGTATAACAGTGAAAATTGGTGTACAAGGGTTTTTTGGTACGAAAAAACGAACCATGGGCAGAGTTTTACTGTAGGCGCTAGAGGGCGCTCTCTACTGTACCTGTAGTGTATTAAAATGACCGAAAAATTTTCTTAGTACAATTTTTGTTTTGAATAAAAAAAATGATTCTTCGCACTTTTCTGCATAAAAAAGCCCTCTTGTAAGTTTTCGTTATAGTTAGCCGTTTTTAAGATATTTCGATTTTCAAGGTTCGATGCATTTTTAATTATTCATGATAAAATAACGTTAAAAAGTCAGTATCTCAATAATTTTTAGAAGTAGGCTGTGCCTGCAAATATTTTGAAAGCAGAAAAAGATTAAACGTCAACTAGTTGACAGTTAGTTTTGTTGTCTGTTGAAACCTGCAATTGTGTTATTCGGAAGCCACGCATTTTTCGACCCATGTTTATATAGACTTTATGCATTAAGTTTTAAAAGTTCTATCGAATCTTAAAGTTATGCAACATAAAATAAACTGAAACACCCTGTATACTGGGGGTTTCAAATTTGAGCATTAAAGATAATTTTCTTAATTTCCTTTTTAAATTATTGCAATCAAGATGGCATATAGGTAAAGCGTTATGAAATAAAGAAGTTTTGCGAAGAGGTATAGTAAAAGTGTCAGTAAATCGAATATTTCTTGAATGGATATATTCACGAGATTTAAATTTATCTTTCAAAAATGGAGGAATCGAAGCTTAGCTGTTCGAAACATGGATTAATATGATCATATTGCTGAAAATCAGTCTACAACAAGAATTTCATAGAGATTTAGCTGAAACTGAATCTAGAAATGGATAGTACGCTAAATCTGGATCAAATATTCTTTATTTAAATACAGATGCCGTAAAAGAGTCAAACAATTTTTAGTTACATTAATTACATGAGAAATAAATTTGAGATTATCATCTATAAACAAACCTAAGTTTTTAACTGATTCTTCTATCTGGTTAGCACGGCCGTTTACAGTAATGTTCAAATTATTTTCAATAAGGAAGCTTAGATTTTTAGGAGAAAAAATAATAACTTGGATTCAATCGCACACTATGTCCTCTTGCATAATTTTTAATATACTAAGTGACATATAAATCCGAACACCCAGTTTAAATGGTTTTATTTTAATAAAATTTTGTATAAGTACTTAATGAAGCATAATAAGTAAATGATATAAATTTCAAAATGATTGCACTGCTTTAAAGCCCTTTGACCTTTAATAATGTGTGGATGCACCCTGATGTGCTACGGATTCTCCAACGCGCCTAGGCCTGCTTCTGATCAGGTGGTCAATGTCCTCCTGTGGTATCTCATTCCAGGCAACCACCAACTCCTCTCGAAGTGCTTCTAGAGTCTGAGGAGGACGTTGCAAATTGAGCAATCACCTACCCATCATATCCCACAAGTGCTCAATTGGGAATAAGTCGGGAGATCTTGGTGGCCATGGTAACAATGTGACATCATTATGTTGAAAGAAGTCTATTGTGACTCTTCCAACATGTGGTCGGGCATTATCTTGTTGGAAAGTTGGATCTGCCAGGGTGTCAAGATAGGGTAAAAGATGGGGTTCTAGAACTTTGTGGATATAACGCTGCGCGTTAATGTTACCTCTGATGAAGATTAAAAGTGACCTGGAACCATAAGCTATAGCACCCCAAACCATAACTCCAACAGTGTGATGAACATGTCTTTCAACAAAAAACTGTGGATTCCTCCTTTCACCACGTCGCCTTCTAACCCTGGCACGACCATCGTGCATGCCTAAACAAAATCGAGACTTGTCACTAAAGGCAATACTGTTCCATTCCTGATCCCAGAGTGACCGTTGTCTGCACCACTCAAGGCGATTACGTCGGTGTTCTCGAGTTAAAGGGAGGACCCAGTGTGGCCGGTATGAAAACAAGCCAAAACTTCGCATTCGTCGGTAAACACTTCGCATGCCAATAGGTCTTCCGTGTTCTGCAAACCATTCATTTGCAATGGACCTGATAGTGGAGAAACGGTCTCTTAAGGCCAATAATCTTAGGCGGCGATCTTTACGGTCTGTTGTTCTACGGCGGCGTCCAGTGCCCTTGCTCTTTGCGTACGGCCTTCTCGAAGCCATGCCTGACAACACCTAACCACAGTGTCTACACTTCTTTGCACTCTAACTGCAATTGCCCGAAAAGAAAGTCCAGCTTCCCGAAGTCCCACTATACGGCCTCTATCAACACACTAAGTTGACGAAATCGTACAGGTCTCCGTACTCTAGGCATCGTAACCGATCGTAAAGGATGTCAAGAACCAAAATCCGCCAACGTTGATTCTTTACTGCGGCTGAAATATTCATTTTTAGAGCGTTAGTGAATTAAAAAAAGCAGTATAATAACCGGAATGTCCAACTGATAAGGCTGAAAATTTTGTCACTGTTATTTACAGTAAGATAAATACATTCACCAACTTTTATTAAAATAAAACCATTTAAACTGGGTGTTCGGATTTATATGTCACTTAGTATATAATTTGAGTCGTCAGCAAAAAACTGAATACTACAAATTTCACAACCCTGTTTATATTTATATGTATTTAAATAAAGAGTGGTGCAAGGACTATTCCTTGAGGCACTACTGAGGAAATCGGATGTTCTTGAGAAAATTCTGAATCAACGAATATGTCACTTAGAACATTAAATATGTCTATACTGTGAACATGGCATACCTTTTTACTTTTAGATCACTGTATGGGGATATCATAATGAAAAGGAGATATGTCGGTTCGTTATTTTATTTACCAGACGAGGATGGGAGATTTTTATTACTTGCCACGCCTACAGGTCGAGGAAGTATTGCAATCGCGTCAAATTTCGAAAATGAAATATTGTTTTTTTGCATATTATATGACACGTCCACCACGAAAAACAATGTCACTCATTTCCGTCCGCAAATTCCACGATATCCGCTTCAACACAACAGTGCGCGATTTAGTTCTGAACTGGTTCGGAACTGCTTGCTCGAACAAACCTCATATAATCACAATAGACAGCTCGAGCAATATAAAGTATAATCGTTGACTGTTATGTCCTACACATAGGATATTCATACGTAAACGATAAACATGTAAAAATAAGATGTAAATGGAGACCTTAAATATTCATGGACATATC